TTAAGTCGGAAATTGCATTTCGAAAAGCAGTTACACCTAATGCTAAAGTCGTATTGTCGGAGGGTGGTAGGGGGGGGAGTGTAGGAGGGTTTAGCCTAATCGTGCAGTTTCACACTCCTGGAAATAGAACCACCGTGATTGCAAACTCCTTGCAGGCGTAAGGTTCCGGATGCTTGGGATTATTTCCTCCTAAAACTGTTTCACACTATTTTCGTGCAAAACCTGTTACCTTCGTAAATTTCTTAACATATATATGTTGAAAATTATTTCTCTTCAAAAATACTTATGTTAGTCAAATCTATTTAAGACGTAGAGAAACAATTTTTAGAAAATTAATTATTGCTTGAAATAACTATTTTCTATAATTATTATGAAAATTTATTTTATAATTAAGTAATAGCTATACTTGTAATAACAAATATATATATATATATATATATATTTTAAATTATAATTATTTTACGCATAAATCTGTTAATATTCAGAATATAATATTGAATAATAATGTTTATTTTAATGATTCTACTTCATTAAATTTTCATCATGTATACTGTTTTTCAGTGAAAAGCGACTCCTTTTGAACCCCCCCAGGCGTTCATTTGTATAACGCACGTAGTTTTCCCTTCGTTTCATATAATTCGATACAAAAAAGCAAAGTTTCAAAGTCACGAGAAATATTCAATTTGAGTTTATTCGCCTAAGGGAATCCAGCTTTCGGATCCAATGTACAAATTTATAAATATCTCGCATAAACAATTGTAAAATAAACCTTATTGGGAAAATTTTTTTTTTTTAATTAATAAAAGAAAAAGAATTTTACTTTCTCCTGTAAAAAATTTCTTTTCTTTACATGATGTTTTGGAGTATACCAAAGTTTGAAATTTAACAACGTGCGGATGAAACCGTTCATTATAGTTTCTAGTATTATATATATATATAGTGAAATAAATAAGAGAATTTTTGAAAACTTTCCTATCAAAACCCAGACTCAATATAGAGTGATGTTAAACTAGAAACTAACCACAAGGGTTCTAAGCTTGATCTGCAAAGTTGTAAGCCACACGACAGTTCAATAGGAACTACAATGTTATTACGTATAGTAAAACTTTTGCAGTGTGTTGCTATAGGAAGGAATTCTCTGACATCCCTTTCTCGCAAACATTTTCGTGAAAACAACGACAATTTCGATAATACCAGATTTTCTTAAATTAATAATAATAATAATAATACTGATTTTATTGTTTGCAAAATCGAAATTTCATTTGCGAGCGCTACGTGTTTATTAGGGTTATTTTACATTAGGGTAAAAAATTTTAAAAACTGAAAACAGAAAAATACCGACACAAAAATCTACCTTACCGATTCATGGTAAAACAGTATTCTTTAAAAAATAAATATATAAAAAATTACTGACACCGACGTCTACCTTACCGACTGATGGTAAAGAATTTTTTGGAAGTTTTACAAACTTTTCCCAAAAAACCTGTTTTATCGTCAGTCGGTAAGGTAGATTTCTATATCGGTAAGTTATATATTTTTTCCAAAAATCTATTTTACCATCAGTAGGTAAGGTAGATTTCTATGTCAGTAAGTTTTATATTTTTCAAAAAATCTGTTTTACCATCAGTCGGTGAGGTAGATTTCTATGTCGGTAATTTTTATATTTTCAAAAACCTGTTTTATCGTCAGTCGGTAAGGTAGATTTCTATGACGGTAATTTTTATATTCTTCCAAGAATCTGTTTTACCATCAGTCGGTAAGGTAGATTTCTATGTCGGTAATTTTTATATTTTCAAAAACCTGTTTTATCGTCAGTCGGTAAGGTAGATTTCTATGTCGGTAAGTTTTATATATTTTCCAAAAATCTGTTTTGCCATCAGTCGGTGAGGTAGATTTCTATGTCGGTAATTTTTATATTTTCAAAAACCTGTTTTATCGTCAGTCGGTAAGGTAGATTTCTATGTCCGTAATTTTTTATATTTTTAATTTTTCAAAAATTTCTTTACCGTCAGTCGGTAAGGTAGATTTCTAAGTCGGTAATTTCTTATATGAGCATTTTCCCTATTTAAACAATTTATAAATTTGCAAAAACTTTATTATACAAATTTGAACTAAAAATCCGATATATAGGAGAAAAATTTAACTCAAGGGGTCTAAAAATTAATCCGATGTAAGCGGGTATTTTAACACAGACTTATATAGTTAAAGCGTTTTATCGACCGAGTTAAATCATCAGTTCCGTCAAATTCCAATTTATAATATTATTTTCAATGTATCATCATATGCAGATAATTAAAATTAATAACACAAATACAATTAACAAAAAGAAGAAGAAGGAAGAAAGAACTTTCCTTTTTATTATTATATTTAAAAATTTTTAAATGATGTTCCTTATATCAAGTTTTCTAAATGCTTGCGGAAAAAGTTTCTATCGAAATAAGAAACTGGAACAGTGGATTTCCGTGTTGTGGAAAAAGGTTGAAAGCATTTACTATACCCCCTCATATTCCTTCTTCACCTCTCAAATAGCCGAAGGGACTTATCAAACCAGAAACTTGGCGAAAGAAAGTAACAAAGATTTCGCATCAGTCCTTGCACATCTAGCTCAGAAAAGTTTTGACGACGCCCGCGAAATTTCACGGGCTAGCCAAGAAGAGTGAGGGGGGGGAGGAGGAGGAATTTTAAAACTTTCGACTGATGCCAACGTCGCGGAGCAGAAGTTAAATCGATACGTCAATTTGCATATTTATAAGCTTAATAATAAATAGGTTTCAGGGTGCCGAAAGTCTTCCCGGAAGTCGTACATAGAAGATGAGAAATAAGCTTTCAGAAACTTAAATTTAGTATCTAAAAGCTCCACACATAGACATACACATTCTTTGCCATCTACTTCCTAAGTCTATTTACTCTCACAGTACTGACCTAATATCAAAGTTTTCCTATATAAGAAAGTAAAACTTTTATAAGAGCACTAGTTTGTTCTGTTGTTGGTACTTTTAATACGATATTTAGACTTTATGAATGACATTATTATATAGAGTAAAAAGATGAGAGATTGAATAAATAATCAAATTATTAAATTCAATTTGTTTTTGATAATTGAAACTAATAATATATATATTGTAAAATTTAATTACTATAAATACTACAAAAACAAAATAGGCCTAAAGATATGTTTTAAAATAACATATATAGGAAAGACTCTCTTTATAAGAGAGAGAGCCTTTGAATTTTTTTTTTTGCAAGGCCAAATCATTTAATTAAGAATTGCAGAAGATTTATCTATTGAAAATCTGTGACGCAGTTAAATCAATAAAGGGAGAATAATTACTTACCTTATTTGTATATGTTGTGAGGCAGCAAACGAAGTTCCGCACGTGTACATTCAAATTCCATTCTCCCTTTCTTAAAATCAAACGGACCCTTCAAAAATTTCTCCTAATGGATGGAATATCGAGGCCTTATATAGAAGGATATGATTAAGGAACCCTCCTAACCGCTCAAAAAGGCTGGCTTACGTCTCGCTCAAGGGTAAATAAGAACATGAGTGGTGCAATGAAAAACCTCTATTCGATCATCGAATCTAAATTTCTTTATTATTTTTTCTTTTAATAAAAGACCAAAAAAAAATTTATTCAATACAAATTTATTCCATCTAGATGAATGAAAACAAAATTTCATCATTATCTTTCCTCTTTATTGTCCATTGTCAGTTCATGTTAAAAATATTTGTCCGAATATAGTTAATTTTCTCAATGGCCTGGCAGAATTGATAAACTTTAATTTAACAAAAAAGTTTAAAAAAAAATTTATCCATTAAAGCATTAAAAATAATTACAAATTGAAAAGTTTTTTCTATTTCTAATTATTTATACAAATTATTGTTATGTACTGAATTACGTTTTTTTTATTGCTGACTAAGAATAAGGTAGATTCCTATATTATCTGCAGAATATAAAGTACAAACACCATGTTCCTTTATTACCGACTGTAGATAAGCCACATTCCTACTATATCAACAGTCGGTAAAGCAGAAATTATGTTTTTCTTTAATATCGCCTAAAGATAGGGAAGATTCATACATTATCAGCTGTCGGTAAAGCCGAAATTCTGTTTCTCTTTCATGACACCTACATTTAAAGTAAGATAAAGTAGATTTCTATATTATTAATAGTTGGAAAGGCCGAAATTCTTTTTCTATTTCTTTTTGACTGAAGGTAAGGTAGGATAAAGTAGATTTCTATATTATTAACAGTCGGAAAAGCTAACATCCCGTTTCTCTGTTTTTGAAATTTATAAGGTACATCCCTACATTACCAGCAGTCGAAAAAGCTGAAATTTCGCCACTTCTTACTTGCTTACTAAGGATCAACCAGATTCCTACATTATTAGCAATTGGTAAAGTAGGAAATTCACATTTTCTTCTATATCGACTAAAATTAAGATTGACTCTTATATTATATTTCCATGTTTCTTCATTACCGACTGTGAATAAGTCATATTCCTGCATTATCAGCAGTGGGTAAAACAGAAATTCCTAATTTCTTTCTTATCTACTAATAATGAGGCACATTTCTACATTATCAGGTGTTGGTAAACTTAAATTATGTTTCTTGGCTACTGGAGGTAAAGTAGGGTAAGGTAGATGCCTATATTATTAGCAGTTGGAAAAGCCGAAATTCTGTTTGTTTTTGTAATTAAGGTTAAGGTAGATCCCTATATTATCAGCAGTCGTAAAAGCTGAAATTTCGAACTTCTTACTTACTTACCAAAGATAAGGCAAATTCCTATATTATCAGCAATCGGTAAACTATAAATTTCACATTTTCTTCTTTATCAACTAAAATTAAGGTAGATTTCTATATTATCAGCAATCCATCAAGATAAACAAATAAAATATCATTTTTTAAGATTTAATATGACCGTAAATAGTAAAATAAATTTATTTCAAAAAATAAAATTGTAATTTTGGAAATAGGATATAAAGTAAAAAAACTGAGTTTATTTGATGCAATTTTATTGATTGAGTACAATGATGATAATAATAATAATAATACACTTGGCAATTTGATCGGCAGTATTTTATATACAAATATATACAATGTGATTCTCACCTTCGGTTGAGTGTTCGATTTTTACCTTTAAATCGGCTTATCACGGAAACCCTACATTACTGCTGTTGTAATTTAGAACGTATATATACATACGATCTCTTAAAACATAATATCGGGTCCTTGTATTCACAATGTTTCGTACAAATATGTATAAAAGGCGACAAGTAGCAAAAAACGTATTATAACAATTAAAGAACAAAGAATATTTATCTTTTTTGGAGGGGAAGGATAGAAACATGAGAAAGTAGAAAGACGAGAAATCTATAAAGACTAGAAACAGTATACATTTATTTTACACTCGACTGTCTTGAAGTTATCTATATCGAGTATTCATCTTATTTATAGATATATTTTTTTTTTGTCTCATTCATAAATACATTTATTCTTTTATTATAATTTATTCACTCATCAATTCATGCCTTTGAATAATAATAATAATAATTTATTTCTTATTGCTCGCTTATTTTATTGTTGTTGTTGTTGTTTTTTTCATGCGCATTTATGTCAGCGCAATTTTTAATAACACTTATAAATATACGATATGATATGAAGGTACGATGGATATTCGGATAAATTCAAGCTCCAACGTATAAACGTGAGAAAGTACAGTCTTTCGAAAAATGCGTGCATTTTTTTTTTCCTTTTAAACACACGTTAATTTGATAATTGCGATATTATTTTTTCGCTTAATAATTTTTCTTAAAGGTCAAATTAAATTATTTTAATAATATACATATACTATATTCTACAATCTTTTGTAGTCTAACGACAAATTTTGGTTTATTAATTTTCAAATCACATTTCGAAGTGATTCGAATATTTAATAGAATAAGAAAAAGAATTAGTTAAAGCAAACGAATTCCAATTTTTTTCATTAAATACAGATATTTTTTTATAAAAATCTGTAACCTTTTAAATATATTAGGAAAATATTTAATAATTTTTTTTTTATAGAAAATTTTTTAAAAAACTAATTTTTTTTATAAATTATACAATTTTTTTGTTAGAAACAATATGAAATTAAAAAATATTGTTAATATTTTTTTGACCATTTAAAATTCAGTACCACAACAATTAGTCTCGCTTGGTGTTTCTTCGATAATTTTTTCAAGAGTCTGCAATTGTAGGCTATCGTTTAAATCCTTGATTCGCTCAATTGTAAATGAGCAAGGATAACCGATCTCTTGAAAGAGGCCCTTTTTCAGGACTGATAGGTACCCCTAGCTTTGAATAACATCGCTCATGTACTCTTCATGTAGATCGAGAAGATGACGAGGAACATCGAGGGCTGTATGAAGAGTGACAGTGACACCACGATTAAGACTTACTGCCGGATAAAAAACGCCATAGAGATCACGAAATGCAACACCGCCCTGTGGACGATCATTGACGAAAAATCTTAATGTATGAGTTGTGTCCAAATCAAGAAGAAGGCCAACTGTTGAACCTTGTTGAACACCACCGTCTGTTCTTTGGGCGTGACCGCCACCGTGCATGAACCATGATCTCGAACGATCGATGTACATACTGTAGCCTTTATCGTCCTTTCCTGCAAGAATACATCAACACCGAGAGATTCATTAATTACATGTAATGGAAGTGATAAAGGGGTGTGGATGCGCGCGCGAGATAGATTTTAGGGAGTACTTAATTAAAAAGCCCTCATCGAATATATATATATATATATACATTGATTGAGAGGGTGGATTTTCATTCAATTTTCTTATAATTTTTATTTTCTGCTTCAAGTTTTCTATTTTTTTTTGCACTTTAAATTTAAGGGATACGTCATTTTGATAAAAATTATTTTTTCGGCTTTACAAAAAATTATTTCCTATAAATTGTTATATTATAAACGTACATTGAATTGATTATCATTAGTTATTTTATTGTTATTAATTATTTTTCAAGTTAAAAATAACAATTTTTATATCATTCGTTGAATTTAATTGAATTTTAGGAACGCCAAATAACAAGTCTTGAAAACAATTCAATTGTTATTGGAGAATTCAAATTTGAATGAGTTGCGTGCCTCTTCCAGTAGAGTAATGTATTTAGCCGAATCAACGCCATTGCTCTTAGCGAAAACATTCTACGAGTTTCCATTCATTCATATATTTTTAAGTCTACCGAAATCTACATTACCGACTGATGATAAAACCGGAAAATGAAAATATAGAAAATTACCAAGTTACAAAAATCTACCTTACCAACGTGTTTATATTTTTTGTCTTTTTTACCATAAGTCGGTAATTTAGATTTCTGTAAGTCGGTAATTGTCTAAATTTTCATTTTTTTGTTTTACTATCAGTCGATAAGATAGATTTCCAGGAGTCAAACATTTTTATATTTTCATGTTTTACCATCAGTCGATAGGGTAGATTTCTGCAAGTCGGTGTTTGTTTTTAAATTTTGTTTTACCCTCAGTCGGTAATGCAAAGTTCTGCACGTCGGTAATTTAAAAAAATGTCCTGTTTCACCATCAATCGGAATGTAGATTTCTAGATTTCTGAAATCTACATTACCAACGTGATTATATTATTTTTTTACCGCAAGTCGGTAATGTAGATTTTTATAAGTCGGTAATTGGCTAAATTTTTATTTTCTTGTTTTAACATCAGTCGGTAAGATAAATTTCTGTGAGTCGAAAATTTTTATATTTTCATGTTTTACCATCAGTCGGTAGGGTAGATTTCTGTAAGTCGCAATTTTTTTAAATTTTCCTGTTTTATTATCAGTCGGTAATGTAGAGTTCTGTACGATGGTAGGTTTAAAGAATCCTGTTTTACCATCAGTCAGTAATGTGGAGTTCTGAACGTCGGAAATTTTTTTTAAAAATTACTGTTTTACCATCAGTCGGTAATGTAGATTTTTGTAAATCGATAATTTTATATTCTCATTCTCCTGTTGCATCATAAGTTGGTAGGGTAAATTTCAGTAAGTCGGTATTTTTTATATTTTTCATGTTTTAACATAAGTCGGTAAGGGGTCATCCATAAAGCATGTGATACATTTTTTCAGTATTTTAACACCCCCCCTCCCCCTTGTGATGCTTTTTCCAATACCGATTAATATGGAGTGTGATATTTTGCTGTCCCCCCCCCTACCCCCTAAAGTATCACATGCTTTATGGATGACCCCTAAGATAGATTTCTGTAAGTCGGTAGTTTTAAATTTTTTCTGTTTTACCATCAGTCGGTAATGTAGATTTCCGTCAAACGGTATTTTTAAATTTTTTCCTGTTTTACCATCAGGCGGTAATGTAGAGTTCTGTATGTTGGTAATTTTAATAAATTATATTTCACCATCAGTCGGTAATGTAGATTTCTATAAATTGGTAATTTTTATATTCTCATTCTTTTGTTGTATCATAAGTCGGTAATGTAGATTTCTGTGATTCGGTAATTTTTATATTCTCATATTCTTGTTTTAACATAAGTTGGTAGGGTAGATTTTTGTAAGTCAGTAACTTAAATATGTTCGTTATTCTTGAGCACATAGTTTCAGCATTAAAATTTAAAAACTGGGGCATGTAATTAAATTATTTCATTCACCGTCATCGTTATTTTAAGCAAAATTACGAAAATAAAACTACTAAAATGCTTAATTAAACACTATTAGCAATATTTGTTAATATAATCAGCAAATTTTTACGTTTGTAAATGTAAATAATTATAAACTGCGGGTTTTTTTATAAACTTTTCGTATTTGTCTAACCTAAAAATTATGGTATTTGCTATATTCCGTCGCGTGTACATACCTATCAGGAATAAATACATATTTTTAAATAAACATGGGATTATTTAAACAATGCTCTAGTTGTTATTTCATGTCACAAATATTTAAATTTACGGAATATTTCACTTACTGCCACGCAAGGTGATAGTGTGACTTATTTTTTTCAAATAAATGTCTCTAAATGATAAGGACTAAATCACTATGGCACATTTACCTTACATTATCTCAAACTGGGTGGAACAATCATCTCTAAAGCTATTCAACCTTATCTAGATTCTGAATGTGTTGCTTAATATTCTGACACAGTTGGAAATATCCTTTAGCCATGTAGAAAGTTTCTAAGCCGTATCCAATCTGTGCAATTGCAAAGTGTGAATTTCAAAGCTGGATGAGTTTAAGGACTTTAATATCTAGGTTAAGGATAACGATTTACAGTCAATTGGACTTATCCCGTTTGAGGGAGAAATTATATGTTTAACCTGAATATTCAACATTTTAGAATTTTGTTTCAAATGCAAAAATTATATATCTCTCTTTTTTGAATGTCATCAGAATGAGGTAATCCCTTTTTGATAATTTTCATATATATTATAAAGTATAAAACTAAAATTTATTTTGTATTTATTGACAAACTAATTTTAGGGTTTAACGGTATATATTTGTTGACCAATAATACTTACCAAGCATTTGATCTCGAGAAACGTCACATCGTGCAATTCCAAAAGCAGGGTCTGTGTCACTGGGATACCGATCAATTGTAAGTTCCCAATAGTGGACTCCTCGAGAGAATCCTGTGCCTGAAAGGACTACTCGATGTTCGTATCCTTCGCAGGAAGCACTCATTGCATCCTCGGAGATAGAAACTTCCTGTGGTATTGTAGAATCTCCTGTCGCCCATGAAAACCAAGCCACTGTAAATGTGAAAGCAAAACATTTTTTTTTAAATATCAAATTCTCCAATTCCTTAGGTATCAATTTCAAAAAAAAAAAAACTAAATTCTACCTCGAATAGAAATTTTTATTTTTTCATATACGAAAAATTGAAATTCAATATCCATCAAAATTATTTTACTATTCTGGTAATCCAAACTTGATAAAACAAATATTTTCTCTTTAGATATAATTTTTGTATTTCTTTTTTTAATTTTGTCAATTATTTTTTACAAAAAAAAAAAAAAAGAAACGAAATTATTTAAAAAACGACATAGCATCTTGAATATTGCTTTCTCTGGAGAATATAAAATCTTTGAATGGGACATTTTTTTTATGGATGCAATGAATAGAGTTTTACGCTTTCACGCTTCCTGATTTTTTCAGAGACACTTGAAGTCGTGCTTTGAATAAAAAAGGATTTACGATGTTTTTGGGAGGATTTTACGATAACCCCGTTGGCTCGTAGAATTACTTACCCTCAGCGGTCTGTAAACCTATCAGCTCCGAGTATTCCCCTTCTCCAGCACTGTTGAAAGCTCGCACCCGTGCATTGTACAGTGAATTAAAGTGCAATCCATCTACCGTGCAGATCGTCTCTCGTCCGCAATATACTTCCTGTTCAGAAAAAAAACCCCCATAGGTTTATGGTTAAACTTTTTAATATATTGGTTATAAAAAAGAAGAACTTCGAAAAAGAGTAGTAAAAAAAGAAAGATTATGTTTCGCAACAAATGTTGAAATTTTAATAAAATTATAACTGGTTGTTAAAGGTGCAAATGAGTAAATTGTATTTATTTAAATATAAAATTTCCGTTTATGTGATAAGCTGAAAAGCTCTCATTACTGGAAAATACCATTTTTTTTGGAGAAATTTTATTATGTTCTATTCTGTTAAATTAAATTTAGAAAGAAATTATTAATAAAAAAAAACTATGTAATATTGGTTTTAGTTTTTCTTTTGTTTCTATAGCGGAGGGATATAATCGATGAAAAGTAATGTGGCTTTTGTTGTCATATTATTGAAACAAATACAATGTGATGAAACAGTCGAATAATCAAACCTTAATGAGAAATTCCCTAATCTACTTGAATTCGACTGCAGTAGACATTCGACGACACTGCAAATTATTGACATTGTAAACGTATTGATAATGCCAGCAATCAATTCAATGTTCTGTTTGAGAGGCTCAATAACTTAAATAACATGAAATCTTGTCAAAACAATATCACGCTGAATAAAAGGGACAAAAAAATATATTCAACATTTTTCTTCATGACAAGATAAAATAAAATGTATTTTTAATTATTTATTTATTTAAACATAAACGGGTTACAAATAAACCCTTTCGTACAGAAGTACTTAATAATAATGGCATACAAAGCCATAATCACAAATGACCAATTAAGGTAATATACTTAACGCTAGGCCTGTTATCAGCTGTATAACAATTGTCTCAGACTAGAGATAAACCTTATCAGTGAAGCATCAAAAAAAACAAGCGTATCAGAACTAGTATTAGCCTCTCTGCTTATTCTTGCAATCAGAGAATTTTTCGCATAATTCGTTCTGTGATACTGCACATAAAAAAGTGAAAGATATCTAGATGATTTCGTAGGTACAAAGAATTTAATCGATGATAAAAGTACTAGACAATTCGTGAAACTGGTTTAACAACTTGTACAAAAAAAAATTAAATCTGAATATAAAAATCTAGTGACAATTTTGGACAAATTCAAACGATTTCGTAGCTCATCATAATTATGTTCAAAAAAATTGAAAGGTATACCCAATTGTCTTGCCGCAAACCGAAGAAACCAATTCTGAACACGCTCCAATCTTATTAACAAATATGCATAGTATGGCACCCAAATAATTGACGCATACTGCACTATACTCATGACGAAAGTAAAAAACAAAATTTTAAGAGTACGTTCATTTCGAAACAAGGATGCATTTCTTGTCACAAAGCCAAGCGACCTAAGCGCTCTACTTATAACATCAGAAATATGAGAATTCAATGATAGTGTACTGTCAATAGTAACAACCATTATTTCCAATTATGGGTTACAGAACAAAAAATAGAGAAAATTTAAATCCCTTTTTCAAAATTAGATCTAATTTTTCAGACTTTAAAAAAGGATACAGATTTTTTTGTCATTGAAAAGTAACGGAAAATACTTAAAAATTCACTAGTTAAATATTAAAATCCGTTAAATTTTGCCATGTAAAACTTTAATTCCCACTTGTTTCAAAAAAATTTTTTTTAAGCTTTTACAGATATGTTACCCTCACATTGAATAATTATTTTCCAAAGTTCCAAGACAATTTAATAGTAGAATTCCGATTTGAACTACATTCGGATTTGCCGCAATTATGTTTTGGTGCCAATTTGTAACTTAAAATTATTTTTCTTTATAAAAAAAAAAAAATTGACAACCATTCTTCAATTTTATTCTTTATATAAATTCAAAAAGTTTGAATATAAAAGTAATTTAAAATTTTACTTTAAAAGATTTTCATGTTTTTAATATAATTAAGAAAGCGATAATTTACTTTTGGACAAATAAAAAATTTTAAATGTTGTATCTCATCATCCATATATTTTAAAAATATTTCTTTTTAACACACAATTAAAAATTCAATAAATTGAAAAATCATTTATGTGAAAATATTAATTTTCAATGAAGAAGTTAATTCTATATGAATGGTTTATTAAAACATTGAGACTTTCTATTGTAACCATAACTTAGTTGTGAAGAGGGTGACATTCAAAATTTAGGGTCTCATCGCATTATACATCTGGAGAGAAACCTATAAATCATAAGGCTTTTGATTGTCTCAGTTTCCCTGTTTCGATAACATTCAAATCATATATCATAGTCTCCGGAGATCTTATTGTCTTTCGTGTACGAAAATTTCATCTTCTTGTCCTTCAGTCTTAATTATATAACTTTCAATTTACAATATACATATATAAATAGTGAAAATTAATATTGTTCTTTTTATCTATATTATTTTCTTCCTTAATATTGAAACAACAAATTGAAATAAAGAGGGAACTAACTGAAACTAACTCATTCCGAGTAATTTCAGAGACTGTCCACCTCTCTCTAATCAAATTTAATTACACAATGATGCAACGTTTCCGAAATCGAAGGAGAATTCGCTCTGCATGTTAATGTCTTTGTTAATAGTTGAATTGTAAATTGAAATTTATTGTGAATTATAAGTCATTACTACTTCAATGATGGTTCGTAAATATTCAGTTAGTTTATTTTATTGATAATCAAATTCCATTCTGGTTAAAATTCCGAACTAATCTGGAATTAGTCCGAAACTGTCAGATTTGTGATTATAGATTTTTCATTCAAAATTTGTGGAACTAGTGATTTTGGAATTAATTCAACCAAATCCGAAATCGGTCTGATCAAACGTAACACACAGCAAATTTTGGATTATTCTGAATTAATTTAAATCAAAATATTTTCCAGACTAAATTCTGGATTTCAATTCCGGACTAATGCTAATCACTTTCGGATTGTTTTCACAAAAATTTTCAGACTAATCCTGAGTAATCTGTTCGAATTTAATTCAGAATCAGTCAGAAATTTTAAACAGGAATATCCACTTTTTTTAATGAGTACATTGAGAAAAATCTGCTATTGAATCAACAGCATTTCTGCCAAAGGTATAAAAATTATTGATTCTGAAGCATATGCTATAGAATTTGTAAAAATATTATACAAATTCTATAGCATATACTTTTGAATTAATAATTTTTATACCTTTGGCAGAAATTCTGTTGATTCAATAGCAGATTTTTCTCAGTATAGATAATATAATTATCACGTTAATGATAAAATGTTATAAAATAAATTAATTTTGAAGTTAATTTTTCAACAAGAAAAAATGATAAATAAAATATTTTATTGGAACTCACCCTAAATTCACCGTCGCATCCGTCGTCCAATTCGAGAAGATATCCTTCAATTGAAGGACCTCGTTGTCCACAACCAAGTGGTGGTTTCCAAGCAATTGTAACGCTGTTGTTTTCGGCGCTGCATTCTTTTGGTACAAGAAGTGGTGCTCCTGGCGCTAGAATTCGTATTCAATTAAAACACCTTCTTTCGGTAAAAATTTCAATTAACAACTATGAGTTCAGTGTATATATATATAAAGAAATCAATTGAATCCCACAACTATTCACACTGGGATATCTATTGTAAAGTGCAATCAGTATAAAGCTTTTATGTGTGCGCCTTTGTACCAACTTCAATGACCCTACAAATCTTTTTCAAAAAAAACAAAATTCAATCTTTCACTATATATTGAGAAATTCTCATCTCAGTCCTCTGAACGTTGAATAAAAAAAGCATACTATATTTTGTATACAGATAATAAAAAATAAACTCACATTTATTTTGTGATAAATATTCATTTAAATACAAAATGTTAGTTTTTAGTTTACTACAAATTCAAAAGCCTTATTGTACTCAAAATAAAGCATAAAAATACAAAAAGTCGAAAGATTTATCTAACTAAATTTTTCAATCTACGGATAAGAAATTTATATATATTTTCATTACGCGATGAATGTTTATTAAATATGAAATTCATAAACTTATGTCAACAGCTTCTATACTTGGATAATTAAAACCAGTTGCCAAAATACTCGACACTTTTTTCACGAGAAGAATTTAATGAAAGGCAATTTGGCGCCTTTAGAATACCGGAAGTTTGTTTAAGACTTTTCCCTTTTGCTTTTTGGTAAGGGATCATTTCGTCATATTATTTCTTGAATTCACGAGTTTTAATGACTTTCTTTTATATTTAACTGAACGACGAGCCGCACGTTAATTCAAAACTTTTCAAATAGAAATTAAAAAAAAAAAATTATTATAATTATTACATGAAAATTAATTAACTGATTGTAATTGAATAATTTCTGTTCATTCGTAATAAATTAAATTCTCTCTTTAATTTTCTTAATTTATATGTAGCAGAAATTTTGAGATAAAATAAATATTATTTTATCCCTTATTTTAGGTGATAGACCTGAATAAATGAACTTCACTCTGTTTTAAATGTATTTATTTGGACTGTCTTTGCAAAAGAATGTGTGAAAACGAAAACCTTACAAAACTGCGAAAATCACGAATATTACCGACAATTTACGAATATTCACGAATAAAAATAGCTAAATAGTTTTTTAAAAGTTTTATGATTCAGATGTACCGTAAAGTACATCGTACCTTAATAAGGGTACTTTATGACAGGATTAGGATAGCGATCCTTTACATAGATATAGTAATTCATGGTACTAAAGTTTATCTTTTTAAATCCATATAAATAATACCTAAATTTTGAAAGGATTTCAAATATTTGCACCATTTGAAGAATAATTTTTATTATTTAATGAAACGTGACAAAAATTTGAAGACCCGACTTAGCGACATTTTTTTATAATTTAGTACTGAACCAAACAAAGTTGGAATATAATAAATATATACTAAAGTTTATTAGTTATTGGTATAAGCTACATAACAGTAGTAGTAATAATAATTCGGTGTTTTGTTTCTATGATTAAAAAAAGAAAATGGAATTTTAAAAAAGAAATAAATTAAAGGTGAAAAAATAGAACAGAAAAAAGAAAATAAAAAGAAATCTAGAGCAGAATAAATGAGATGTTGCTGAAGGGATTGAAAGAAAAAGAGGGAAGTTTGATTGTCGGCAATTGAATATTCAGTATATTACAGTGAAGGAGTTTTGTTGATTGGCCTTTAGAAACTCTATATATATACAATCTTATTCCCTTGTACATAGATTAAATTTATATTTGTTCGATTACTTTATATAGAAAAGAGAAATTCCATTTGAAAATATTTCCGTGTTTTACAAAATCTACATTTCTCTAATATTTACAAAAATAATTTTTAATACGAAGAATAATATTTTCAATTGGATGTCTATTAATTTTTCCTACAAGTTTCAATTAAAAAAAAACAAGTACGTTTTCATTCATTTCATCTAAATGTAAAAAAAGAATGGAAACAAAATGATTACAGAGATTGGTTAAAGCGAAGATCTTGTGGGACATTTAGTTACAAGCTCTATAACGAGAGTGTAAATTGATTGGTTCTTGAAGGGGGAATTCTCCAAAACCCCTCTATATCCACCTTTTTCCCTTTCCTTCCTTCCCTCCCTTTTGACCCTCTTCCACGTCCCTTCAACGTACATCAAATTAACGTATATATACGCAACAGCGCAATGTAATCAGAATTTGAAAGGATTACCCGTGGACCTCGTGAAGGTTCCGTATTTACATCTTGATATATAAATTAGAATTTAAAATTAAAATTGATAATTAACATTTCTCTATGTATATATATAGGAGAAGAAAATATAATTACTACATTCCTTGATAAATGAATTTCTTTTGGAAATTTCTTTAGAAAATTATTTGCATTCAATTTCATTTTGTCACGTATTAATTAAATTTTAAAATAATATTTTTTTATTATAATTCTTTAATAATAATTAAATTAGATATAATTTGAAAAAAAAAATTCATTTTTGAAAGTAATGGGAAAAATATTTTTTCACTCGAAAACTTATATAATGTCAATATTACAAATTAAATTCAATTTTTTTTTATCAATTATTCTGGAATCATTTCATGGTTGCGTGTCAACAATACTTATTTTTCTTAGAAGGGGAAAAACAGTAAGGAAGTGACAGCCACACAAGATCATTTGTCATATAGAAAGAAAATTTCTTTTCTGTCTAATAAGATATATATTCACATGGTCGTAAATTTCTTTATATTTCTTTTGACATTGTAATTTATTTTTTCTTATGATATCTTTACATAGATCGAAAAAAAATTCAAAGTACAAATGTAATAAAAAAAAAAGTAAGAAAATTATATGAAATTTACTATGATTAGAGAAAATAAAATGGTTTGATATATATTTAACGAAAAAAAAAATTGATAAAATTGACAAGGGGAAAAAAAACGTTTTAAATGGAAAAAAATTTATATTTCTTGAAAATATATAAGTTTTAGTAAACATTTGTGACGAAAAGTGGAATTAAATGCAAATAAATAATATTCTAATTTTAATCAAATATTAAATATTTTAATATTTTTGAAAATATTGTTTATTTTATTAAATATTTTTTTGTGAGTAAACCTTTTTTTTGGATATTTTATAGAGAATGCAAAATATAAAATTTCGCTTATATTTAAATAGTAGAATTTCGGTTTGAACTACATTCGGAAATATCGTAATTATCTCTTTGATAATTTCGTTGATAATTCACAAGCATAATATATTATTCATATCATCATCATCATCACTAGTGTAAAATTTCTGATTTCTGAATTGATTATATTTTATAATTTATTTTCATATCTTTAAAGATCGAAAAATTCTAAATAATTATAAAAAGAAGAAAATTATAGAATGAATAAAATGTTGAATATTTCAAAATTGATAAGTAGAAAAAAAAATTTACGTAGAATTTCTATATGGAAAATATGATTTTTTATTGACATTTGTGATTAGTTTATAAGAGCGATGAAATATCGAAGCAAATGCAAACAGGATAGATGTGCCAAGTGCATTTTCTTTTTTTTTTTTTTTTTTTGAATGATTGGAACTGAATCCAATAGGGAATTAAAATCGATATCTGTGGGCAAACCAGGTGCTTCTCATGATAAATTTCTCAGTCCTCTGAGAGACAACTGTCTGACCGAAGCTCGATCACTGCTACTGCAAAAGGCCGCTGGATACATTTTCCATAAGTCCTCAGTAGTAACGGTCAAGCTCAAGTCAGACGTTTCATATTTATTGCCGTAATATCACTTTTTTTTTATTTTTAATTCAAATACACGACGAATTTTTCAATAAAATATATTTATTATTGAAAAAAAAAATTTTTTCAATTCATTTTTACATTCAAAAGTTAATTTTAAAAATAATATTCCCCTCCCCTGTTTTTATCGAATGAAAAGAAAAATTTTTTTCTATCCATTTTTTTAAATTAGAAAATTTTTTTTCTACTTTTAAAATTGTCCAATAACCAAACAAGAGTATTGAAAAGGATTTCGAGAAAAAATGAAGAATGTATATTATTTCCTTATTGAAATGCTGACAATAAGAATAGTGATACCATTTTTCGAGGAAAAGAAAGCTATTTTGATAAGAAAAGTCATGACAGACGAGAAAAGAGTAGAACTACGACAGAGAATCAAGAAATCGATATTACTTAACGTCAACTCGCGTGAAAGTTTATCGCTCGAAAGCAAACAGAGTCACCTCCATAAAGACGTACGTTAAGTGGAAAAATAAGTTCACGAAACGTCAGTGCAAATCACGTCACTTTTCTTCTTTTGGCTCATAAAATTGCAAAATAGATATATATACTGAGGATTTATTTCAAATTCCATTTAATTTTTTTTTCTTTTTTCAAAATCCTCTATACTGTTATGTTAAAATAATATAAGCAGAAAAAATAATTTTTATATTATAGAAAATTTTTTAAAGATCTTTAAAAAAAAAAATGTTTTTGTTATCGCCAAAAAAAAAAAATTGAAGAGAAAATGCATATTATAATTCAATTCACTGATCAAAATGAAATTACAAAATGAAATAATACAATTTATCAAAGTGGAAAACAAATTGCATTTGTGCATGAATTTGTGTTTGAAATTAAATTATTTCCCCTTAATAATGTTATGACGGGTGAAATTTTACCTGGCTTATTATAAGTGAATTTCACTTTTCAAATTTATTAACAAAAAAAAAAAAAAAATAATCTCAAGTTTGGATTAAAAATCAAAAATATTTTCAAATATTTAGAATTAAAATTAAGTTAAAACTTTATAATTAATAGAAAAATCCTTCTATTAAGTTTTTGTTTCTTAAATATGAAATATAACAGACTTGTTTTTAAATAAAAAAAAAAAATGCAGTCTATTTAAAAAAGTCTTTTAATCTACTTTATTGTTAATTAAAATTAAAATCATATAGAGGGTACACACACATATCTTAGTTCTCAGGGAAAATGTAATTTTAATTTGCATGAAACGT